GAGTTAGCTGCATAGGCAATGTATACACAGATAAATAATAACGCAAAGCGTAATGTACGATATTACCAATATTTATTCGAAATCATACGACGTGTGTAGCTATAAATAAATCATTGCAAGCCTTTTGTTTATTACTGAGTAAGCGTATTTTCATAGTTGCTTTAGTCTTGTAGTTGTTCATAAGCGTGAGCTACTCTCAAAAGTGTTCTTTCGTCGAACATCCTTCCCACTAACATCATCCCGACTGGTAGACAATCTATGAAGCCAGCGTTGATGGACAGTGCTGGGTGACCAGTCACGTTAAATGTAAAAGTGTTTGTAAGATTCTTTCCACTTTCAGAGAGAGCTAGAATGAAACCAAAACCATTCTTATTAGACAATAAATTGTATCCAACATCAAATGCGCATTCAACGTATGTAGGTAAATGGATTTGGTTTGTAACAATGATTATGGAAATGTTGTGGATGATAAGGACAGTGATGTTGGGGATGATGATGATCATGTTGTTATGATGACGAAGATGCTGCTGCTAATGTTCTTGTTCTTGATGATGATTATCGATGATAATGGTAATGATGATGATGATGATGATGATGATGATGATGATGATGATGATGAAAATATTAATGATAATCAAATATAATACCACCTACTTGTAATCGACGCGCCCTTCGCTGGTATTTTGGGAGTTTGGAATGGAATCGTTGGCAGAGCTATTACGTCGACATCTTGGAAAACTTTGTCAAACTCAGCAGTCAGAAGTCTTCTAAGATTCTGGGCTTTTCCATAATATTTGCCACGGTACTCATGCTTCATGTATTCGCCAAGCATCCATGCACTCTGTGTAACATAAGAAGGAAAATATCTCAAAAACTATAGTTCTTTTAATCAAGGCGTAAGGCCTCAATATTACAGAATTCGTGTATACGATCAGGCTTACCTTAACTGCAGATGAAAGATCATTTGGTTGAGAATTGAGGCCTCTACCAGCCGCGTCCATCAAGCTTGTAGGGTAGAACCCTTTGTGGCCACTACCAACACCTGCAAAATAGGAAAATACGAAGACGATTCATTTGGTACTGCAATCGATTGTATTTGAAGTAAAGTCTTATTCTTTTATTGCCAAACAAAAGCATAACATAACAATTATACAGAAAATGACCACTATAGTGGACCACTATAACAAAAAGTATGTGTCTCTCATTAACCCAGTTTTGAATAAAAATAAAACTATATAATATATACAAATAAAATGGTTAATTAGAATAGAAATAACTTATAAAATTATGAATCGGATTATAATTACAAGTGGAATAAATACATCAGCAAATACGGTATAAATAGAGAAAAATAAAATAAAAAATAAATATGAAATCTTGCCTGTGATATATTCAGTTAACACTTTATTGTTAGAATGGCATTTGTCTATCTTCCGAAACCAATTAGGATTTCATATACTTTTAGAGATCTTGCTCATATTTAAAGGCGCTGCTCTAAGCAAATAAACTTACACAAACACATAATAATATATAAATTATTTGTATTTTTGTGCATTGTCATTTTTCTTTTTAATATAGTGTATAGGCCTACACTACATCTATGTGTGTGTCACCGATGCACAAAGGTGCAATTTTCAAGAGCAGTAAATTGAATTGAATTTATTTGATTTGAATACCAATTCTATATCATTTGTATATATAATGTACCTTATGCAATGATAATTAGTTTACGAGTGTTTTTCGTTAAATGCACAAAAACCTATATTAAACTTGTTACAATAGTATGTCCCTCATTTGAAGATTATGGCGTAATTGACACTCAAAAAAAGGAGCGTTCACGTCGCGACCCTGTTTTTACCAATCCTCTCACCACTATACAAGAAAACCGTATTGTCAAGTTTTTTTAGAACTAAATCGACATGGCTCAGCAGAACATAAACTCGTGAACAGACTCTATAAGAAGACTCTTAACAAATCGATTCTGTGCATTGAAATTTCTGGGTTTGCAGATTCTACAACAAAGCATAGGCCTGGGCCTAGATTAAATCAGTCAGTTTTAAACTTCCATAACTAAATATAAAAACCTGATTTTTACGAAACAAGTGTGTGTGTGTGCAAGGACACGTAATCATAATAAACTGTCAAAATAAGTTGTTACTTACTGCCACCTCGCAACATAGAGTCCGCCATTCCTTGATGCCCCAAACACAACCATATATTTGTACCTATAAAACAGAGATTTAATTCTACTAATCTCTTTTTATTTTACAGGGCAAAAGTGGATTTAGTACAAACTCTAATTGTATTGTGGCGAGATCAATGATAATGATGATGATGATGATGATAATAATAATAATAATAAATAATAATAATAATAATAATAATAATAATAATAATAATAATAAATAATAATAATAATAATAATAATAACAATAACAATAACAATAACAATAATAATAATAATAATAATAATAATAATAATAATAATAATAATAATAATAATAATAATAATAATTACTATAGACATAATACCGAAAACGACAATAGCAGTGCCATTGACAGGTTTGATGGACCATTTGAAGTGGTGCTAGAAAAGAAATGTACTTGACTATACCCATGATAATTATAAGGAGAATGATAAAGGTGATAATGAAAATAATAATAATGATAATAATGGTAAAACTTAATAATCACAAGAATAATAATAATACATTTTTATGTCCAATTAGAGAATTGAACGTTATCTTCAGGCTTAACAGTAGTAAATCAACGCTACCATTATGCTAAAATATAGCTTACCCTGCTTGTGCAATGGTACCGAAACATTTGAAATCTTAGCCTTTATTGTAGACATTTTTTGAACAGCTCTTCGGACGACATCATTTACTTTCTGATCAGAGTTTGCCTGCTCAAAACCTTCTTTCAGCAGCCCAATTGTAATATTCTCAAGAGTTTGACCTCTTAACTGTAAATTACGATGATCATAATTTGTGTAAGGAAGAAATGTTTTTTTTTTATGATTTACCCCTAAGGCACCAACACAAATCTGGAGGAAATACTATCATGGTTCCATCGTTTTAATCCCTAATCACTAAGAGCATTTCTTAAATTCAAATTTATCTGGATTAAGGTATCGGAACATTAACAATTTTACACTAAACAAATTTACAAACTTTTGAACGATTTATTATTACAAAGGTAACACATGAATGAATTCGATACAAATTAGAACAATGCACTATGAAAGGCAGAAAAGTAATTAGATAAGTGGAATGCATACCAATTCACTGTTAATGTAAAATATTAAATAAGCTTTATACCACAACATTTAACAATACCTATTTAGGCCTACGTGTAGAATCAAATTCTTTACATTAATTTTTTGTGAGTAAACATTACAACCAAACTGCTCAAGTATTGGCTCACAAATAATATTCTTTCAGTAAAAGGTAATTTGTCTTCTATAAGAAGGTAAAGGTTTTTTTTTTTAATTATAAACAACTATGATATTTCACATAAAATATGAATTAGAATATAATCTTGTATATTAGAGGGGCAGATATGTGACATTTTTTGGTCAAGACGTGCGCTTCTGGAAAGAAGCATTAAACTTAGTCCTAGGGGGTTTTTGAGTATGCCGATTCCAAAAATTGCAGGAACCACGATGTCACTCCAACTGTTCCCACTGAAAATTAAAAAAATCAAAATGGCCGCCAAAAACACAATTTTTGCAGTTTAAATGCTCTATGTCCACATTAACATTATCTTGGTGTCAATATCTATGTTCTTTGGTTCAAAGAATCCAGTAAAACATAAATTTAATAAAATATTCAAAATGGCCACCAAAAAAAAAAAAAAAAAAAAAACAATAAAACAAAAACAAAAAAAAAAAAACAATTTCGGCAGTTTGAAGGTTCTAGGTGTCATATTACCACAATCTTGGTGTCAAAACCTATGTTGTTTAGTTCAAGGAATCCAATAGAACATATATAAAACGCCATAGCATACATCTTTTTGCGAAAATGCAAAATAAATATTCAAAATAGCCGCCAAAACACATTTATAGTAATAAAATGACTGCGAATGCCCGAACTACCATGACCTTAATTGTCCACAGCAATGCTTTATAACAAGTAATCCAATTGATCATATGACTGTCTCTTATACACATCTAGATGTGTATAAGAGACAGGCTTAAGAATATATTCCAGCAGGATTTTTAAAATCTTAGACACAACACTCGAGTTTAGGAACAACCGATGTTAATCACATAGCAGACATACCACCTTCAAATATATATACCGGTATATATTAACTACAATAATATCTTTATGGTAAAAACAAACTATACATTCAAAATCCAAAATGGCCGCAAAACCAGGTTTTTGGTAACAAAATGGCTGTAAGTGCCCTGACTACCATAATCTTTGTTGTAATACATTTCCGATCTGGAATTCAGTAGACCATATATAAATTACACAAATATTTTATGTTAAAAATACAGTATAAATTCAAAATGAAAAATGGCCTCTAAAAAGGGGGGCTCTAGGTTCACCGATTGGCTTTATCTTGGTTATCAACAGCTGTTTTATATTGCATATTCCGGTGACACTAAACCTGGGGCCGAGGTGGGTGTGAACACTCAAGCAAGTGGCCGTTCCCAAACTTTCCACCTATACTTTGTAGGAGAAATTACACCACCGCTACCACAAGCTAAAGTGTAGCACCACAAGCTAAACTAAATGTGACAAATACAGATGGATAAAAAAATGTTCCGGTTTTTTTTTTCATAGGCTGAGTAAGGTGTATCTGTTGTGGGCGGATATCCTTTTCCCCTGCACATCTTGGAACTCCTTGTCATTTTCTTCAAACCAGTCTTTGATTTTCTTTGTAGAGAACACTTGGACTTCTTCAAGGTCTGGCGGATAGCAGTTTTCAGGTGTGACAAAACAATTCTGGACAGGAGTTTGCAGTGTAACTTGCATCCTAAAGCTTTGATCGAAGTTTCCCCTGGATGTCAGTTTGCAACTGACTGGAAGTTGCCAACCTTAAACTTCTCCCTTTCAGTGTCTCAAGGATGTTGACATTGCCATCTGTGGGGGTGTTCTGTACGAGGCTGATAAGATTAGTGTAAAACATTCTCTTAGCGTCAGAACGGTCGGGACATAAATACTGACGAAAATAACATGATGCTTGCTTTGAGGTGAGGCACGTGCAGATGATGCGATCGCAGTGACCAGTTTCTCATCCTAAAAGCACTCACAAGGCATTTTAGCTGTATTTAAACTGCCTGACCATTTGAGATTGAGGCCAGCTCTAAGTTCCTAAATGATGCCTTCCTTCTCTAAGAGCAGCAATGTCAATGTGAAATTTTGACCCGGTTCACAAAAAAAAATACAGTCACGTTCTGGACGTCAATATATAATAGCCTATCAAGCATAGTTATTCCACAGGTAAGCTTTAGTTTTTGTGCTCCATTTGAGGCATGCGTCTGCCTTTCTGTAAGTGCTCGATGACCTGTTGGCTGCCAGGCAGCAACTGGAAGCATTGTAAAAGAGCAGTGCTGTCTAAAGACGGATGCTGTCACTTCTTGACTCCCATAGCATCAAGCGGCCAATATCCCGAACTGCCTACATGTAGGATCAAAACAACAGCTTCCAGTGACATCTTTAACCTGACATCTTTCCACCCTTTCATTTCTCATTGGCCCCTTTCTCACTGATGCAAAACTTGAGGGGAAAAGGGATGCAGGCATGTTCCTGACGGCTGCA